TAACCACTACGCTAGGAGAGCTCCTTTTGGACATGTTGTTATGAGGGACCAATTCCTGTAGAAGTCTACCATAGATGGAAAAGTGGAGGACTAGCAAAAAAGAGGAAGACCCTCAGTGAGATGGATGGATCGACAAGAGGCAGCAACAGTGGGCTCAAACATAACAACAGGCACAGGACCTAGCAGTGTTTTGTTCTGTTGTGCGTAGGATAGCTATGAGTCAAAAACTACTCCAAGGCACTTAACAGCAGAAAAATTCCCCATCAGGAAAACTTAAGCAAAAGCTAGATTTTTGGTCTCCTAGCACTGAACTGCGAATCACAAGGTTGTCAGTTCAAACCTACTAGCTGCTTCTGAAAAACCCTGTACATGGGGTCACTATATGTCAGAACCAACTCGATGGCACTTACCAACAGCATTGCATAATTGTTTTACTTCTTTTGTAATCTTCGTATCCCCTTAATGAATGCCAACTGTTTTTTGTTTTTTTAAAGACGTAATTGTTCTTAATGTACTTGTGCACTTAGAGATCTTACTAACAGAAGTCCTGAAGGCTCTGTGGGCTAATATGCTGGACTGCAAGTTCAGTTTGAACTGCTGCTCCTCAGAAACCCTATACAGGGTTTCTATGAGTCGGGGCTGACTCCACAGCACTTAACAACAAAAGCACAAAGTTTTAGATACATATTTGAAAACAATGAAAAATCTCCTGGCAACGTTTTCTTTGCTTTATGCCCTCTGTAATCATTGTGAAAATCACAGAAATTTTATTTGTGAAGTGCTTACTCCTTACGGAGATTAATACAACACATCATTTAAGATCAGGGATGAATAAAGAGTGTATTTTATTTTAAAATATCGTTTTAAGCTTTGAAAGCAGAATTACGTTCTCTCAGGCTCTTTAGTAAGCAAGATGTTAATCATAATTCTAATGCAACTGTGTTTTTGATAAGAAGGAAAAATGAGTATTAGTCATGCTTGCTCATCTGTAAACGCTGAGTTAACTAATGAGTATATGGGCCTATTACAAAGAAGGATCCTTGTGTCTCACCCAAGGTTATGGACAAACTTGCTATCTCTTCAAGTCATATTCATTATCATGCAAAATATTTAAAATGCACACTGTTTTACTTAGAGACATTTCCATAGCAAATGAATCGAAAGGGAAAAGTATCCAAGCCTGTGAATTTATTTATTTGTTTATTTTAAGTTTTCATTGTGAATTGAGTGATAGTTTACATGGGAGAACATCAGCTTTACATTCATCCTATCGTATTTCATTTCATTGCAATGACTGCAATCCCCTCCATGCATCATCATTCAATAGCATTTGTTTCCATTCCCTCTATTTTGTTTTGTTTTGATGTACACCATAGCACTCAGGAATATATAACCATTCAAACAACCAAAGGGTACACCCTGCAAGCCTGCCCCCGGCCACAAGTACACAGCCCCTCTACTTCCTTGAGTCTAGAGTCCCCAGCAGCTCCATCTTGCCACATCATCTTTTCTGCCTCCATCTCTAGTGTCCCTACTTCTCTGGATAGGATCCTGAACTCCACTCTTCTCCCTTGATGGTCCCGGGGTCCTCCGCTTCTGGACTGAAAGATCAACCACTCCCCTCATTTTGTTACAAAACGTGTACCTTTACATTTGCAACAATCGCAGTCAGTTTTGATACCAATTATTCACTATTGAACCTCAAGAGTCTTATCCCCATCTCCTTTCACCAGCCCCATCTAGACACTGTGAATTTGTTTTTAGAAGTCATTTTAAATGCATAGATTATGACATCTATAAATTCTGTTTAGACTTTAAAGAGCCCTAGTGGTGCAGTGGGTTGTACATTGGGCTTCAAATTAAAAAAAAAAAAAGGTCTAATCAAAACAGTTGCTTTTGCTGGCCTGTGCTAGGCCAATTAATTTCAAGGCAGAAAAGTCAGTTCAGAAGGGATTCCAAAGAGGTAATATTCAGAAGTATATAGACCTGTTGTTGTTAAGTGCCACCAAGTCAGTTCTGACCCTTAGCGACCCTGTATATGGTTTCCAAGGAGCAGCTGGTGAGTTTGAACCACAGACCTTAAGGTTCAAACTGACTTTGCAGTCCAGCACATTAGCCCACAATGCCAAACCAGAACTCAATGGAGGATATTTCAAGAAACAATAGCTTCACACTTGGATATTTTGTTTAAATAGGTTGCTATGATTTTCTAACAATCTTTTTTTTTTTTTTTTTACTCATGTGTGCAGCATTGGCTTTCTTTTGTACATGTGCTGAATTAAAATATTTTCTTTTTGAGGTTTTTGACATGCATAACAATCTGAAAGAACAGTATAAGAAACTTCTCGTATACTCTTTACTCTTTACACAGGTTCAGTTGCCAAGACTTTCAGTGTGCTTATCTTTTAAAATCAAGTGGTTTTGGTATGTTGCTCTGGGAAATACCATAATATCTTTCTATTAGTTTCTAGAACTTGTTTATTAGTTATGTGCTTAGTAGATTGATTAGATGGTGAAATTATGCGGTGTTCACTTTGAACACATATATTGTTAAATAAAGGTAGTCGTGTCTAAGAGTAGAAATTAAAATTAAACAAACATATCTAGTATTACTTCACATACAATTTTGGATTCAGATTATGATTTGTAAAATGAGCTTTGTGTGTAAATGGCTGTATATTTATGACTTTCACTATACTAAATTCACCCCTAAACCTGAAAATTCAAGTTTTACCCTTACTTTTTATAATTAAAATATGATCATATGAGTCATTAACGCCAATCTAGCTACTTACCAGGCAATGTTATTAATTGCACATCTCCTTTTCTATGTATGACCCATTATAGTTTTCAACTTATTCAATATTTTCAATATGTACTTACTCTCATCCCTTTAGGAACCTAATAGCAACCTTTTATACAATAATTATTGTTAAGTGTCCTGTATAGTATTAATATGGAGTCCTGGTGTGGCGCTGTGGATTAATGCTCCAGACTGCAAAGCCGTTTGAACTGCAAGGTTGGTGGTTCAAGCTTACCAGCTGCTCCTCGGAAATCCTATACAGGGTCACTGTGGGTCGGAACCGACTCGACAGCATTTAACAACAACAATAGTATTAATATTAGACAATAATAATGGTATACAAAATTATGGACTTTATTTTGCCAGTAAGCATACAGGACTTTTTAACAAAATTGTTGTTACATGCTGTGAAGTCAGTTCTAACTTAGTGCGACCCTGTATAAGGTGTCCAAGGCCCAGCTGTTGGGTTTGAACGGCTGACCTTGTGGTTAGCAGTTCAGTGTTCTCCTACTGCACCACACTAGGAGTATAGCATGTTTTAATTTTAAATGTCTGTAAAAGGTTAATTATTCTCATACTTTTCATGAATTACTCCTCTCTTGTAGGAAGATGTTCACAGTTGAAATTCTCTAATTAATTTATCCCTGTTTGTTTTCCTTTTCTGTTTTTCAGCTCTTGTAAATGTGAAACTCTGGGCCATTGATCGACAATGTTTTCAAACAATAATGATGAGAACAGGACTCATCAAGCACACCGAGTATATGGAATTTTTAAAGAGGTAGGATGCTGTCTCTCCTCCTTCTGAGAGCACTGATTGTCTTGTGATTCTTCTTTCTGAAAATATGGGTCAGTGAAGACTTTCTGCTTGTATCTCAGTGTTAATACCATGGAAGTTTGTGGATGTGTAGGGTTTTGAACTGGCTTCTTTATATTTCCAGGGCCAATTTTCCTACATGACTAAGTCAGAAACTGAGAGTTTCCATAATGTATATTCAGCATCTCAGGGTTTCTCAACAGAAGAGTACAGCTCAGAGAAACAAATGAGAACTTTCTTGAACAGAAAAAGAATATTGAGTTCACCTCTAACTATTTATTGGTTAATATATTTATGGTACCTCTTCTAAACCAACCCACACTGTAGGCTGTGAGTCACCTCTTGTTGTTTGAGGTTTGATATTAAAGGTCAGATGACTAAGATGGAAATTTTCCAAAAGCAGCTTATTATCCTTTAATCCTGAGTTTAATTTCACAAATTAAATTCATTTTGTGTTGCAGTTCTGAAATATCAAAAGCTTTTTCTTTCCTTGGTGTTGTATATTACCATGGTAACTTAATATAAGATGGAAATTGAGGGTAAGAAGCTACCTTTTCATTTCTTAGGAACATGAATGATTTGTTGTTAGGTGCCTTCAAGTCGGCACCGGCTCATAGTGACCATATGCAATATAGATCAAAATATTGCCCGGTCCTGCGCTATCCTCACAATCTTTGTTAAGCTTGAGCCCACTGCTGCTGCCACTGTGCCAATCCATCTCATTGGGGATCTTCCTCTTTTTTGCTGACCCTCTGCTTTACCAAGCGTGATGTCCTTCTCCAGGGACTGGTCCCTCCTGATATATGTCTGAAGTATAAGAAATGAAGTCTGGCCATCCTGGCTTCAAAGGAACATTCTGGCTGTACTTCTTCCAACACAGATTTACTTGTTCTTTTGGTGGTTCATGGTACTTTTAATATTCTCCTCGAGCCCCATAACTCAAATGAATTTATTCTACGGTCTTCTTTATTCATTGTCCACCTTTCACATGCATATGAGGTTAGGAAAATACCCTGGCTTGGGTCAGGGGCACCTTAGTCATCAAACTGACATTTTTGCTCCTCAGCACTTTAACGAGGTCTTGTACAGCAAATTTGTCTAATGCAAAACATATTTGATTTCTTGAGTGCTGCTTCCATGAGTATTTATGGATAATCTGAGCAAAATGAAGTCTTTGACAACTTCAATATTTTCTTCATTTATTTATTGATCCAGTGGTAAGAATTTTTGTTTTCTTTACATTGAGGTGCAACCCATACTGAAGACTGGTCTTTGGTCTTCATCAGTAAGTATTCTCTTCACTCTCAGCAATGAAAGTAGTATTAACTTCATATCGCAGGTTGTTAATGAGTCTTCTTCCAATATTGATACTGTTCTTCTCAAGTTATTTGCTCAGCATACAGATTGAATAAGTCTGGTCAAAGAATACAGTCTTGGTGCACACCTTTCCTAATTTTAAATCATTCAGTGCTCCCCGTGCTCTGTTTGAACAGCTCCCTCTTGATCTATGCACAAGTTCCCCATGAGCATAATTAAATGATCCAAAATACTCATTCTCTGCAATATTGTCCATAACTTGTCATGATCTACACAATTGAAAGCCTTTGCATGGTTAGTAAAGTACAGCTAAACATCATTCTTATATTCTCTGCTTTCAGCCAAGATTTATCTAATGTCAGCAATGATATCCCTGCTTCCCTGTCCTTGTCTGAATCTGGCTTTGGCCTCTGGCAGTTCCTTGTCAATGTACTGTTGCAGCCATTTAAAAATTATCTTTAGCAAAATTTTACTTGCATATGATATTAATGATATTGTCCGATGATTTCTGCTTCCCATCGGGTTGCCTCTCTTTGGAATGGGCACAAATATGGATCTCTTCCAGTGTGTTGGCTTCCAAATATATTTGTCTTCCTAATTTCTTGGCATAGATAAATGAGTGAGTTCCTCCAGTGCTGTATCCGTTTATTGAAAGATTTCAATTTGTCTTCCATCAATTCCCAAAGCCTTGTTCTTTGCCATTGTCTTTAATGCATCTTGAACTTCTTCCTGCAGTATCATTAGCTGTTGATTATATACTACCTCTTGAAATGGTTGATCATTAACCATTTCCTTATGGTATCATGACTCTGTGTGTTCTTCCATCTTCTTTTGATGCTTTCTGCATCATTCATTATTTTTCCCAGAGAATTTTTCCATATTGCAAGTCAAGGCTTGAATTTTTTCTTCAGTTCTTTCACCTTGAGAAATGCTAAGCATGTTCTTCCCTTTTGGTTTTTGAGTTACAGGTATTTGCACATTTCATTATAATATTTGACTTGGCTTGTCCTTTGAAATTTTCTATTCAGCTCTTTTATCTCATTTCATTCATTTGATTTAGCATCGCTCTGCTGGAGAACAAGTTTCAGAGTCTCTGCTGACATCCATTTTGGTCTTTATCTTCTTTCTAATAAATTAATTTCTTAACAACATGCACGATAGTCACTGAAATGAGTTTTTATGTTTTCAAGCTTATTTTATTTTAAAGAAAATAATAATATTATCTTATTATTTAAAAGAACATTGACCATTTTGAGGATTTTTTTTTTCAAAAAATAATTATTTGATTTTTTTTTCCATTTGAAACAGCCATTGACAAAATAACATGCAGATTATATGATATAAAGGAACATGTAACATTAAGTTTTCATTTTTGAGTACTAGAATATTGGCTTTTTCATTTTGTATTTTCAGTTTTGGTAAGTAAATGGTTAAAACGGACTGAAAAATCAAATTCACCTTTTTTTTCAGTGCTATACCTTAACATACATCTGTGGAATTTTCTTAAGATTCAATTTTAATATTACTTCCTTGGGCATTTCTTCTGATTATTTTGTCTGAGCTTTATCATTTATACAGTGTTAGTTCCCTTGTCTTTCTGTTATATTGCTGTGAAAGGAACAATACAAGCCTGACTTGTATCAGGTAATAATATATTGAAATATTATTCTAATAGGAAGGTGTATATTTCCCCTCCTCAGTGTGTTTAGATGAAACATTTAGAAGTAAAATACAAATTTTTATTTGGAGTTGAAGTTTACAAGAAAATTAAAATTTTCAACTGAAATAGATAGATATAGATATATAGATGGAATATTCATTTTCTAAACTTTAGAGTGTCAAATTTTTATTTTCTTCGGTTGCATATCTAATAGAGAACTATCCTGATTGGTTGCCTAGGAAATGATGACATGATGTTGTTTCAGCTTCCATAAATTGCTTTTGCAAGGAAATAGACCAAGTCTAATGCTGTTCTGTGTGACTCTGAAAAACAATTTTTAAAAAGAGGGACAATTTCAGAGATCACTGTGAGTCGGAACTGACTCAAAAGCACTTAACAACAATAACAGTTTTAGAGATGAACGTGTGGCAATTTTTTTTTTAATGAGCTTGAATAGGCTGTTGTTATTGTAGTATTCTCGGAGCCGCCTTAGTTTATTTTTCTGGTCTGACGATTCAAACCATAAGCAATAAAGGTTGGTTCCTCAGAGTGAGTGAATAGTATTTGTTGGTCACATAAGGGCAGTAGAGATTTACTGGTTCACCTAAAAATATTTATTGGTAGATGCTAACTTTGTTATCACTTTCCATGTGCTCACCCAGTAAAATATCAAATCCACCTTTTTTGTGAATGTAACATTGATTTCTCTTTACAGAAATGATACGATTGTCATCATTGCCTGGGCCCAGTTTTAATCTTCCTAATGTAGGGTGTGACTGACTTCTTGTCTCTCTAGTGGTGGTGGTGGTTGTGTGTTGTGGAGTCAGATCTGATTCATAGTGAACTGTATAGGATTTACGAGGCTGCCAATCTTTACAGGAGCAGAAAGCCTCATCTTTCTTCCTCAGAATAGCTGGTAGTTTCGAATTACTGACCTTGAGGTTAGCACCTGAATCTTAACCACTATGTTACCAGAGCTCCTTAGTAAACCAAATCAAACTCAATGTCCTGGAGTAGATGCCAATTCATAGCAACTCTATGGGACAAAGTCTAACTACCTGTCCTTGTGTGGTGTTGTAGGCTAGACACTGTACTGCTAACCACAAGGTCAGAGATTCAAACCACCAGTTGCTCTTTGGAAACCCTATACAGGTCACTGTGAGTCAGAACTGACTCCATGGCACTTAACAACAACGATAGCTACTTCACAGGGTTTCTTAGGACAAAGTATGAAATTGGTCATTGAAAAATTCAACCCTCAATGACATGGATTAACACAGTGGCTGCAACATAACAGTGAGCTTAAACTTAACAGCAGTTGTGAGGAGGGCATAAGACCAGACAGTGTTTTGCCCTATTGTCTATGGGATTAGCATGAATCAGACCCAAGTCAGTGGCACCTTACAAATAACGATATTTAGAAAAGTAGATTGCCACATCTGCCTCCCATAAAATGACTGGTAGGTCCAAACCTTAGCAGTATAACTCTTACTGAACCATTTGCTGCAAGAGCTCCTGTACTGTCCCCCTCCCCAATGTTTTCTGACTCCCATTTTATTTGGAACTATTTACAGCCTTCCAAAGACCATGCCTGGCACTCCAAAGACCAATGCCAACCTACTTTTTCAACCTGGTTTCCTCTTGTCTCAGACAAACCAAGTACTTCTATGTACCTGCCAGGCTGTCTCCACGCTTTTGCATAGCATGCCGCCTCTCTTCCTGTCTTCTCTATCGTCACTTTTCCAATGTCTTTGTTCTTTTCAGATCCACAGACACTGACTCCATTTCAGCCAGAAGTAGCCTTCACTCTTCTAGAGTCTCATATTTATAGCATGTCTCATTTCCTACATGTTTTATAGTAATATGACTATTTTTATAAAGTGTTCAGTACTAAGGCTATGTTTTGAGAATGTTACAGACATAAATAAATGTACTGCTTTGTGGATAAGGCAGTTTATAGGCCAGTACATGCAGAACCAGTTACACA